TGAGTCTTCCCACGGCGCCCTTCCCGACAGCACGCTCAATAAACTGTGCGGATGCTAACTCATATGCTTTGTATGTAATAAACTGTGGACATAATAAGCCATGGGTATGTTACCTCATTCGCTTTGGGTGATGGTTTCATTCCACCTGTTTCAGAAGTGGTGTGTCAGGCCCAGCGCGATAGCATTAGCGGTTAAGATCCTCCCTTGAACATGCCAGGATCCCATTTGTGCGCCAGTTCTAATCCCAGCAGCTCCACTTCCCATCCAGTTCCTTGCTTGTGGCCTGGGAAAGCAGTCGAGGAGAACCCAAAGCTTTGGGATCCTGCACCCATGTGGGAGACCTAGATGAAGCTCTGGGCTCCTGGCTTTGGATTGGCTCAGCTCCAGCTGTTGAGGCCGTTTGGGGAGTGAATCATTGGATGGAAAATCTTCCTCTCTGTCTCTCCTCCTTTCTGTATATCTGCCTTTCCAATAAAAGTAAATAAATCTAAAAAAAAAGAAGAAGAAGAAGAAGAAGAAGTGGTATCCCCACCCACCCCCAGTCCTGGGCCAGCAGCCTTGGCTTACCTGTAGACTCTGAGAGGAACAAAGAGGCTGTAGCCCACCCACTACCTCCCAATGTCCCCACACCCCTGGGGCGCCAACACTGCATTTGCCACGGCATGTCCCCACAAAGTCTAGACTGGATTCCTTTGCCTTGCCTTTTCCGCAAGCAGGACAGAAACCACTTCTTGGTTTCATTCAGCTAATTATACCAAAAACCAAAATCTTTACTTAAATAGAGAAATCTAGTGGAAAACCCCTAAGGTTTCCCTGTACCATCCAACTCTGACAAGCTGCCTGGACTCAATGAATTCCATTTGTGGAGCCCTAGTCACTCAGCCCTGTGCTCAAAACTTGCACATCTAGCCCATCATTTTATCCTCAAAGCAGCTTGATGACACAGAGACGTCATCACCCCCATTTCACAGATGAGAACGCTGATGCTGCAAGGTTCAGAGCTAGCCAAAGTCACATGGTCTGTAAGGAGCAGACCTGGGATTCAAACCCAGATGAACTGCCACTGGTGGCGAGGGCTCTTTAATGCATCCATCCACACACCAGGACCACCAGCCATTGTATATGTAGATCACAAGTTTTGAAGACTGTTGGAGTTCATACGATTTTGCATTCACACTCCAGCAGGCCTTAAACAAAATCTAGCTCAAGTTCAGTATAAATCAGGGAACTCAGGCACGTGTGACCCCAGCATACACCAGCACAATGGCCAGAGTGAGGAGAACCAAGGGTTCCACAGACGTTGAGCTTACGGCCTTTTCTCTGTGTATCTTGGGATCCCCGCAGTCTGAAGTCTTCCCACACTCACTACTGGCTTTCTAGGGTCAAACCCTTTTTATTTCTTCAAAGCAAGCCATGCTCTGATAAAATGTTTAAGATATGTTTCACATCTAAAACCCTATAAAGTAAGGGGCAGATGCTGTGTCACGTGAGGTTAAGCAGCTGCTTGTGACCCTGGCATCCCGTATGAGAGCTAGGAGAACCCTGGCTGCCCTAATGTGATCCAACTCCTTGCCGATGTGCCTGGGAAAGCAGCAGCAGATGGCTCAAATTCTTAGGCCCTGCCACCTGTGTGAGACACCTAAATGGGTCTCCAAGCACCCCTGGGCTGCGGGCAGTGGGGAAGAAAGCCAATAAATGGAAGGTTGCTCTCTCTCTTTCTTCTTCTCTAACTCTGCTTTTCAAATAAATAAATAAATACACCTTTAAAAATTAAGTGAAATACCACAAAGTGACAAATGAGGTTCTTTTAAAAATAGAAATACTACTAACCAGTCATGAAAGAGTTATAAGCAACACAGGCTGTACACCCAGCTGATTTCTCCATTTGCATCTAAGTGTGACTTTTATTACCGCTTTACAAATGGAACTGGAATCAGGTGTCTGTGAGATCACGGAAGTATCCCCAGGGTCCTACAACCCCCAACTTGAACATCAAAGTTCTGAAGTGCCATTCCGGCTACACCAACCGACCTGGGACGTGAACTTGTGATGCTTCCTGATGGTGAAGCTGCTCACCTCAGGTCGTCTGCTCTCCCCAGGCTGGGACTCACCTAACGGGCTCACAGTCGCCAACAAGATGCAGCCTTTTCCACCCACCTTACAGCCAGGAGTATTCTTGGAGAGAAAGGAAATTGCAGCCAGTACTAAAACTGGGGTTTTAGGAAGCTCTGGAAATCTAGTAGCTGTATTGAGCTGGGAAATCTCTCTAAAAGATTCTGGAAACAAAATGGCTAGAAATGAAGCCATCTGAATGTTACCAGGTGGCACAGGCATAGGACCTGTAGCAGTTAATAATTCTTGTTTCGAGCAACAGTTTGTCATCACAGATGCTGTGCCCCCAGTGGCCATCCACCTGCTTCCTGGGAACACAGGACTTCATCTAGCTCCCTCCCAACTATGGCTGGGAGTCACCCTGGTGCTGCTGGGAACTAAGCCCTTTGACTTTTTGTTTTGTTTTAAAAATTTCTTTTATTTGAGAGGCAGAGCTACAGAGAGAGGAAAAGAGTTAGAGAGAGAGAGAAATCTTTCATGACTGGTTCATTTCTCTACTGGTCACAATGGCATAGTTGGGTCAGACCAAAACCAGGAGCAAGGAGCTTCATCTGGGTCTCTCATGAGGGTTCAGGAGCCCAGGTATGTGGGCCATCTTCCATTGCTTTCCCACGGGCACTGGCAGGGAGCTGGATCTGAAGTGGAGCAACTGGGAATCAAACCAGTGCTCATGCGGGATGCCAGCCTTTAGGTGGTTAAGCCCCTTTTGTGTTTACTATGTTTGAGTGCATACAGCAGGTCAGATGTTGCACTAAACATGGCTTCCTTAAATCCTCAAAATGCTCCTCACTGGTAGACATTGCATTTATTTCCATCTTGCCACCCAGGAAGTCACAAAGATTGTGTGGCTAGTAGGATTCAACGGTGGATGAAGATTTGAGCCCAGGACTGCCTTGAAAGCCCAGCTATCAACCCTTGTAGGTTACCACCTCCAACTAGGTAATATGTTATTCATAAATAACTACTGTGGATACGTTCCAGGTCCACTACACAGGGCAGTCCACAGCAAGATGCTCCATGTCCTGTCTCCACGTACGAGAATTCAAAACAGAGACATCGATGAAGAGTAAGAATGGGACCAGGATTTATTTAAAAATATGAAAGAGCTAGAACACACTTAGAAATGAAATGAGCAGCCCTATAAGGTAAGAAATGTGCCCTACTCCATTCAGTCACCCTGTACTGGGTAGGGGTGGCACCCTGCCGTGAATGCAAACAGGGTAGAGTTGGAGCAATGTTCAGCACACATGGCAGCTTTGGGCAGATTTGTGGCATCAACAACAGATCTCAGAATTCATCAGCTCATCACAGTGTCTTTATGGTGGAGGGCGTACAGGTACATCATCAGAAACTGGATGTGCTGAATTGGCCTGGAAGGGGTGGCGTGATTTAACAATGCAGGGATAAGGCACCAAAACTACAGGAAAGTTCTCTACTCCTTTATCCTTTGCTGACTCTCTGCCTAGTACATATCATTACCCTTTTGCTGGTGGAAAATTTGAGAGTCAGGGAAATATCTTTTTTAAATGTGCATCTCTAATGCCTAACACAAATATAGAATACCCAGTGAAACCAAATTGCCCAACATGGAACACAGAATCTGAGCCCAGGCCAACCTGTTCCTAAAAGACAGCCCTTTGACACTGGTCATCATATTTCACAATGGCTTCTCCATTGCAAGATTTAATAAAATCTAAAGCTGCCAGGAAAACGTGTGGTTGAAAGATGTACTTCCGGAGTCTCTCTTTAGTGTTTAGGAAAAAGTCTGTTGCCCCAACCAATGTCTTATTCAGAGCATTGTGGACCGACCTCGTTCCCAGTGAAGAATGTCTGGGCAGGTGCCCAGCGAGCAGACCTCGACCAGCATCCAGGAAGTGCCCTGACTTTGTCCAGACAGGCCTCTGCCTGCCTGTGGCAAAAACCCTAGCAGCTTCAAGTGATGTCCTGCTATTGTTCCAGCACTTTCCATTTGTTCAGTGCTTGCTTTGCCCCTGAAAGCAAGCCTTCGGGGATTACAAGGCTGATTCCAAGCTCCCTGGCATGGCAAGGTCCCTGGCCACTCCAAGTTTCTGGGTCTGGCACCCTGCTTCTGCTCCAGCCTTGATGGGCTGCCTGGCCTCGAGGGTCCACGGCTCTCACCAGCACCACCTGCCCCCGTACCTGCTGCACTTCTGCATGGAATGATTGATCTTGCCCCCGCGCCTCACTGGGGACATTTCTTCTCTGCCAGCCTCAGCAGTCTCTCGGGGTAGGGCTCCTGAGGAATCCACGCTTTGAAAAAGTTCCCTGGGTGATCTCGGTGATCAGTCAGCTTTGGAAATGACAAGATAAACACGTGTATACACACATGCACACACACTCACGCACATACAGCCTCCCACCCCATGAACTTCCTGTGGGTTTTGGCTCTAGAATCCCACACATGCGAGTCTTCCCTGCAAAACCAGGACAGGAGCAGAGTGGGGTGGTTGGTGCAGAATAAGGGCAGGAAACATGAGAAGCGACTTGGGAGGGTCCGGCAAGGCACAGGGTCTGTGCTGCACCAAGTTCCTCACACCTGTTTGGTGGCAAATGTGCCAAATGGGGGTGTTGGAACCTCCTGAACATTCAGCACCCATGGGTCCTTAAGGGACACAGAGGAGTCACCCTGGCAGGCCCCCCACAACTGTGGTTCCTGTGACGGTGCTGTGTCTGCCTCCTGGAGTATGGGTTTGACGTCCTGGTGGGGGCGTGGCTGGTGTACAGGCACCCAGGTTCATGCAGACACACAGGCCTGTGGGCTCTCTGACGCACCAGGACTCCCCACACAGGACAACAGCTGTGCGGAACACCCCACTAGCTAGGGGCTGGCAAGCCAGTGAGAGAGCAGATCAACCACACAAGACCAGCACACTTCAAAAGGCTTTTATTGTATCTCATTTCCAAAGCACAGATACTACAGACAATTTTGCAAGGACCCTGAAGTTTTGCAGGGCTGTTTTTGGCTACTATTAAAAAAAAAGGTAAAAGAATCACACACACACACACACACCCGCAGTTCTCTTGGAGACATGGACAGTTCTAAAAGGCACTGACTGGTGACTCGGGTGGCCCTGGCCTTCTTAGGCAGCCAGCTCAGCCAGGGCCCTGTCCAGGGGGTCCACAGACCAGTAGTCGTCATCCCAGCCCAGGAACCAGCCCACAAAGGAGGGCGGCTCAAAGCCTTGCTTCACCACCGTGATGGGCGTCCGCCTGTCCCGATTCGCTGGGTCTGTCTCGATGTAGCGCTTGGCTGCAGACACAGGTGGGAAAGAGAAGCCCCAGGAATCCTCAGTGCCTCCCTCGCCAGGGGCTCAGGGCAGGGGCAGCCGAAGAGCACGGTCTGGGTCCAATTGTCCCTGCTTCCCCACCCCTGGCCTGGACACCAGCAGCCTGCCCTGGAGCTAGTGGCACCCTATGGGTGCTCCCCCAGCCTGCCTGGAAGGCACAGCATAGGCATCCCTGCTTCCTAACACTTGCATCCCTCTTTGGATGGAGCAGCCCACACCTTCAGTGGGAAGATATTAAAGAACCTGTCTTGGGGTTCCCAGCCTGCTATCCAGCTGTACGCTGCAGTAACTGTCAAAGATCTGCTTTTCAGCACTGAGTCCTGAGAGGTGCAGGCCTGGGGAGTTCTGGGGGTCACATATCCAGTCCTTTCTTGACCTGCTCCGTTTCCAACCTGGGCCGGTTCACCCCTCCTTAGGCAACCTGGTGGTCCCCCGCTCCCGGGAGGTCACCATTTTGATGCCGAACTTAGTGCGGACACCCGATCGGCATAGCGCACTACAGCCCAGAACTCCTGGACTCAAGCGATCCTCCGGCCTCAGCCTCCCGAGTAGCTGGGACTACAGGCGCGCGCCACCGCGCCCGGCTATCCAGTCCTTTCTTACCGGCCATGGAGGAGTGAGTCCCCGCACCCTCTCCTGATGCCCTGCCCCAGAAGCTGCTGCTCCCACTCGGCAGACAGCGGAGCCCAGGAACCCTCGAGTCCTCACCTGAGGTCAAGGCTTCGGTCTTTTCCTCTTCCTGGGAGTCCTTTCCAACCCACACAAAGACCTGGAACGTGATGGGAAAAGAGTCAGACATGAGCTGCGCTGGACAGTCACTGCCTCGAGGCAGCACCGGCAGCAGGTGGCAGCCTAGGCCAAGCCTTGGGCAAGGACTGGAAAGATGGGAAGACAGCAATGGGAGACCTCCAAATGCCGTCTGGCCATCCACCAGCCTGGCCTGGCCGGCTGTCTTTCTCAGCAGCTGATAACATAAACCTCCAGTTACAATTTCTCTTGGAAACTTGGATCCGACAGCCCTGGGCTGCCATGGTCACATGACTAAAGCTGAGTGACCCTACACAGAGGAGTTCCACTTTGCCTCAGGCCTCACCATGCCATCAAGTCTCCCCATCTCAGCCTGCTTCACCCATTGCTGCCACCAGCCAGGTGTCATCAGACATTGAGTGACACATCCCTCTCTCACATTCTGTGAATTAACTCTTCCAAGACATTTTTGTTCAACAAATGAGCAGAGACAGTCTCATGTATTCACTCAGCCTTCACAGTGTCAGTTCCCATGTGTCTTGGTCAACCTGGGTCTCACACTTGGAATTTAAAAACAGCTCAGGCCCACGACCACCATTTTGGGTCTTAGGAACAAGTTCTATGGCATGCAAAGGAGCACCTGGCACAGACAGCATGACATCAAACGACAGAATACCAGACTCAGCCGCTCTCGCTAGCTTGCAAACAAGTTCCCTCCTGGACCGGAAGCCCTTCTCTGGCAGGTGTGACGTCTACTTGGCCTATCACAGAACTGACTCCCAACACGATGCATCTGCTGCAAGCCCTGGTGCCTGATAAATGCTGACTGAGTGAAAGAATTAACACAGGAGCTAGCAGACTCAGGGACCCACAGAACCACCTGTGACTACAGTGGGGCGGCTAGAGATGCAAAAGCCAGTTGGATGATCCTGTGAAGAAGCCACTGGCCCCGGCCTTCGTGGCCAGTTATTCACTAACCCTTAGAACTCAGCGAATAGTCAGGTTGGTCATGAGGATTGTTCATGTCCTGGCACCCCCACTGGGCCCCACAAGGGCAGGGCATCACTGTCTGCTTGGCTTCACTGCTCCTTTCCACAACAGAGAGCATGTGGCACAGAGCAGGGACACCATTAATACTGTCTCAATGAATGGACAGCACTTCCCCTACCAAGTCCTACACCCTAGCTTTCCCTAGGAAAATCAGAGGATCCTCAGCCACCTCCAAACCTACAGGTGACACCAGGCCACCCATGCCTGCCAGGAGTGTCAGTGTAACCACTGAGAAAACCAGAAGGCCACCTGGTGGGTGCTTTCATGCTGCCTGGACTTTCAAGGTGGTGCCCCCTGCCAGGCTGGCATCATCACTGCCATGTGACAGGTGAAGAAACGGAGACTCCGAGAGGAGGAGCAGCTTGCAGCAGCTGCGCCTGCTGTGCCTCCTCTGGGCCTCGGGCAGTCATCCTAAGGCTGCCCGGCTAGCTTCTTCTCTCCCTCTTGCAGGGAAAACCTCCACCTGCCCTCCCTCACTCACCTGGTCCCAGGTGTCCAGGAGCATGACGTCATCGGTTGCCAGGTCTTCCTGCATGAGCTCGCCAGGAACCTCTTCAATCTGGGAGGGAACAGATATGATGAGAGAGGTGTCAGCAAGACTCGCTTGCTCCCTCTCCGAGGTGGGCATCCTCTGGGCCAAGTGGGATGGGCCCATGTCAGGGGGTGGGGCACTGCTTCCTTCCTGCAGCCACTTCCTGGCCCTGCCCCACTCCCTCCCGGTGCCTCCCAAGGTGTCTGCCAGGGTGCTCACCACGAAGCGGCCAATCTTGTTGGAGCAGGCAAAGAGGCGAGGGGGGTGGGCGTCCATCTTCTTGTCCTTGAGCCGCGGGGACGTGCGGTAGGCGGCCTTCCCGCCCAGGGCCTCCCAAAAGGCATCTGTTGAGGGTGGGGGAGGCCACACCAGCTGCCTAGGGCTGCCCAGGGTCCTCTCGCAGACCACATTGGCCCTGGGAGACCCTGCTAACAGCTCTAAAACCCCAGGGGTCTAGGGGAGCCAGAGGTGATGAAAGAGAGTCCCCGTGAGGACCAACCTGGCAGCAGACACACAGCTAACGCAAACTCTGGCGTGAGGTTGACAACGGCATCATTGCAGGATGGGGACAGTTATTCCCTCTCAGCTCAGAGAGGCTAAGCAACTCCTCCAAGGCCACAGAGCTGATAAATGGTAAAACCAGGAAGCTCCTCTGGTTGGCCTCCAGTCCCCAGATTCCCATTCTACCCACTCCTTTTCTGCTCTATCCATGTGTGGCTACTGGGATTTAAATTCATTCTAATGAAACACAATTAAGTCTTGTTCCGGGACCAGCACTGTGGCACAGCAAGCTTAGCTGCTACATGCAAAGCCAACATCCCACATGGAAATCCCAGACATGGAAGCCACTGTCCCTCAGACGCTGTTAGTGCTGCCTTCTAGCAAGCAACCGCCTCCTCCAGCAGCCCTCCCAGATTGCACCAGCCCACTCTGAGCTCTCTTGGGAGCACAACCCGACCCCAGCTCCTACCTGGCTCGCTGCCTTCGGCCACCTGCACTGGCTGGGCCCTCAGCACCTTGAGCAGCTCCTGGGCCCCTGTCTTCTCTGCCTCGCTTGCTCCAGCTCCCACCCACAGGTAGGCGGCCGATGGGGTTTTCAGGACAAAGGCGTCGTTGGAGTTGAGTGCACCGGCCTTGGGGAGGACCTGGGAGGGCAGTGTGTGTCAGTCAGGAAGCTGTCCATCGGGAGAGAGCTTGCCGCAGAGCCAGCTCCTAGACAGGGTCCTACGGGAGCTCATCCCAGCAGAGCCTGAGTCATAGGCCAAGGGACCGTGGCTGCACGGAACGCAACCAGAAACGGTATCCACATTGTCCAGCATGTTCCGCATTAAAGGTAGTGACCTGCCCATCATGGAAGGCATGCAATGGAAATTGGGGAGAAACCTAAAACGGATAATCTTGCTGCCAGGGCTCCTCAATCCTGCACCCCAGGACCTCATTTTGCCCGTGAAGCCAGGAGATACAGGAGGGGCAAGGCCTCCTGTGGGTTGGGGATCTGTACCTTACCTCCACAGCTCGTGTGGCACCGGAGCTGCTGGCCCGGACCTGGAAGAGGCGCGTGCTGGCAGGAGTCGTCTGGCCGCCCTCACGGGAGGTGCCACCCTTGTAGATAATCATGGGCTTCCCGCCGAACAGGCTCATGAGGTGGGCAGGCTCCTTGCCTTGGACCACACGGCTCTGGGAGGGACACAGAAGGGGAGATGGGGAAGCTGGGATGGGTATCTGGCCTCCTCTGTGAGGTGGCCCTGTCACCCTCCAGGGCCTCATGTGACAGCGAGCAAGACCTCTCAACCAGCAATCCTTCCATTTCAACTTTACCTCCAGCAACTTCCTGTCCTTCTCAGGATCAAGGTCAAGTGTGGCCTCTAGCTGCTGTGGCCCCTCCAAGCACCCCTCCAGCCTCCTGTCAAGGTGCCTTCTCCCTCACGCTCCCTCCTGCCTCAGGGCCTTTGTACACACAGTCTTCCTGCGACCTGGAAGGTGCTTTCCTTCACTCCTTGCCTGGCCAACTCCTATGCATCCGTGAGGCCTCAGCTGAGGCGTCTGCTCCTCTGAAGGAGCCTCATCAAAGAAGCAAGGGGCCTGCCATGCCAAGCATGGCTCTAGATACTTCCCAAATGCCACCTCTTAGTCCGCACAGCAGCCCTGGAGATGGGGTATTGCTGGGATTTCCATTTTGAGAACACAGGTGCACAAGGGTCCTAAGTGACTGCCCAAGTTACCCTCAGGGAGTCAGGATTCAACTCCAGAGGGCTGGCTCACAGCCATGCTCTGAGCTGCTCTGCCACGTGGCCTCTGCCATAGGTCCAAGCGTCTTCACTCTGCATGCGTCACAGTGTGTGACTACATGTCCTTGGGTGTCTCTGTTGAGTGTCTATCTCTCCTGGTATGTAAAGCTCTTCAGCACATTGGTAGTGTCTGTGGGTTCCATGGTTGCTGATGCAGTGCAAGGCACGATGGATGGGTGGGTGGGTGGGTGGGTGGGTGGGTGGGTGGATGGATGGATGGATGGATGGATGGATAGATGGGTGGATGGGTAGATGGATGGATGGATGGGTAGATGGATGGATGGATGGGTGGATGAATGGGTAGAGGGATGGATAAGTGAGTAAATGGCTGGTTAATGGATGGAACGGATGGATGGATAGTCAGGGATGAGTTACCAGAGGGACAAGCTGTAGGCCAGAGAGGCAGTGGACTGGCTCACCTGGACAGGGGTCCCTCCTAGCTCCTCATCCAGTTGGGCAGTCAAGATGGCAGACGCAGCAACCTCATCCTGGGTAGACTGGGCCCCCTGCCTGAAAGAGGAAGCAAGACTCAGTCCTGGGCCTGCGACACCCACTCACCCCTACATTTACAGACAACAAAACTGAGACCCTGAAGGAAAGAGAGCACGGCCAGACCAAACCAACACTTCTCTCTCAGCTGCGCCATCATCCTACATAGGCTGGACTTCAACCTCAGTGTGGTGCTCAGGGGACTGGCTGGTCATCCACACTGGACAGCCACGGCCTGGCCTGGAATCTGAGAAGTGGAAAATGGCCAGGACGCTTTGCAGCTCAGAAAGGGGCAAGTGTGACATGAGCTCATTTTGGGGACCAAGGTGTCAGCTGATTCAGCCCCAGAGGGTTACACTGATCGCAGAGTCCCTGGAGACTTCCCTGAGGGGGAAGTGGGGCTTTCTGCTCCGCCCCTTGCTGCTCCAGCTGATTTCCCATAAACGCAAACGTTACTTGAGTGAACAAGCAGAATCTGACACATCTACATGCCAATACAGCTAGTTTTCTTGTTTGTTTTAAACCCTAAGCACGCGCACATGCCCAGTACACAAACACAGTACTTTTGAAAGTCTGAGGCTGTCAGGTTTTGACAGCCTGTCTCCAGGCCAACTGATCAGAACCCTTGCAAAGTGGCAAGGTTATAAAAGAAAAGGGAAGGCGAGGCATTCTGTCATTGACACAAGGAAGAACAGCGCTGTGAGGGCCCCAGGGTGGTCCCAAGACCAGGAAGGGGCATTTGTGGGGATAGTCAGGCCAAGTGCACAATGTTGTAGCAGAACAGAACAGAGTCAAACCCGGGATCCATGAGAACTATTTGAACAATTCCTGTAACTTTTCAGCAAGCCTAAAACAATCTCAAAACAAAAGGTTAAACACACACACACACACTCTCACACACACACAGAAACCTGGTTGCCAAATCCATTTTTTTAAAAAAAGTTTGAGATAGTATAGTAAGAGAAATACAAACTACAACACCTGGAGACAGCAATTTTTTAACCTGTCAGGTGGAGCCCTGAGCTGTGGGTGGGGGAGGCGGCCTTCTCATTTACTGCTGATGGGAATGCAGAGCGCTATAAACACAGCCAGCAAGGGAAACGCTATCTATCCAAGGGACAAGCATTGACTCTTTGGCCCAGAAAATGCCCCTCTGGGCACTGCTCAAAATGATGTTTGCCTAAGGATGCTAACCACAGCGAGGCCCCCGCCCCCAGGGCTGGACTCTGGATCCACCCTCACCTGCCTGCCTCAGCCCCACGTGTTTGTTAAGTAACCCACTCAGAGAAATGCTGCAGACACAGGTCTCCAGGAAGTGCTCTGAACACAGGATGAGGCCCACGCCCCCGCTGTGGCGTGCTGCCTGCTGGGTGAGGAAGGGGGAGGACTAGGCACAGGGTCAGTTACGGATATTTGCATAAAGCTTTACTGGAAAGACACACCGGAAAATATCAGAGCAGTTCCCTACAAATGGGTGGGGTTTGGTGACTGCGGAAAACAGAAACAGCGGGTCGGGGAGGATTTCCCAACCTTTCTATTCTGTTATGATGTTTGAACCATACCAAGGCATTCTCTGTTGTTTCAAAGGATTTTAACACGGAAGACCCCTGTGGGAGGGGAGACCCTGGTGTGAACAACGCCTGGCATGATCTTGTAGAAGGTATGTCCTTCCAATGGACGTGTACTGTTTGGATAAGAATCATTGAAAAGCTATTTGGAGAAATGAGACAGTGGTGTTGCTCCATGGATGACAGCCTTGCCAAGAATGTGGCTGACCATACCCTACGCCCATCCCTTGTAGCCATGCTCAGGACCCAGCCAGTGTACCCCTCACCACCCCCAGGCCCCTCACCAGTTGTAGATGATCTGGCCCTGGCGGCCACCGTGGCGGTAGTTGTACAGGATGATGTAGCTGTCTCCGCCGTAGAACTGTCCGTATGTCGCAGGGTCCACAGGAACCTTGTTGGAGCCCTCAATCCTCCAGATCTGCCAGGGCAAAGCCAAGGTCAGTCCCTGCCCCACCCCCAGTTCAGTCCGCCTGGGAAGCACAGAATGGTGCATCAGGAGCAGACAATGGTTGCCTGTTTCCCAAGTTTGTCATTGGTCATTGGGCCCACATGGAACTTAAAAACTCTACCCAACTCACACAGCTCCCAGCAGGTGGCACTGGGACAGAATCCTAGGCTTCCTGCTGCGGTGCCATCAGCACACAGGAAACATTCCAGCAACTCCTCGTGAATGCAGCACGAGGAGGGCTCACAGCCAGACCAGACCCAAAGAAGGTTCCACCCCCTTATGGGGAATGATCTTAGCAAGTTGTGGGACCTCTCTGAGCCTCATCTTCCTCACGTGGTAACAGTGCCTACGGGACTGGCATTTAGCCTGGCAGCTACAATGCCCTCAGTCCGTGTCAGTCTCCAGGCCTGCGTCCAGTTCCATCTCTTGACCCCAGCTTCCTACTAAGGCAGATATGAGAGGCAGGCTGCAGGGACAGGTCAAGTGGCTAGGTTCCTGCTACCTGTGTAGGAGCCCTGGGTTGGCTCCATCCTAGCCCTAGTTATTGCATCCAGGGGATGGGAGCTCGCTGTCTTCCGTTTCTCTGTTTTTGTCTGTACCTCTCAACTACAGTGTAAAAACCAACAGCACCTTCCTTATTTAAAAAGTTTATTCATGAAAACCCAGCACTATCCAGCCCAAGACCACGGGCTGTTCTCACTAATATCTCTTTCAGTATTGAACAGCCTGGATGCCACCCCTAGAGACAGGTTCATCACTGGGTGACCTCAGGATGACCCCTGCTGGCAGGTGCCCCCGGCTCTGGTGACGCCACTATTTTCCTAGTGGTCATGAGCCCTGTCGCGCCACCTGGTGGACATTCTGAGGTCATCATGACCCAGGAAACAAGCCCACCAGGTCCAGATTTGGAAAACACTTAAAGGTGATGGAATGAGATTAGCCCCATTTCACAGGTGAGGAAGTGAAGCTCAGAGAGGTTAAGGAACTTGGTCCAGGCCACACAGCTGTCCTGCCAGAGCTCAGTCCTCCCCACCATGGAAATAATGGGTGAATAAGAAAAATATCAAAGACATCAACAAGTTAAGATGAATACTTGTCTTATCTTGATCATTGGGAATATAACCAATGTTTTCCTGCAGTGGATTTGACCTGACAAGCACCTCTGAACGCCATCCCACGGCAGCAGGGACCCAGCTACTCAACCATTACCGACAGACATTCTCACTGCACACCAACAGGAAACAGGAATTGGGAGCCGAACTTGAATTGAACCTGGGAGTTCTGACTCGGGGTGTGCGGATCCCAAGCGGTGTCTCAGCCACTGTGCCAAACACCCACCCCTTCTCCAAACCCAAGTTCATGGTGACTTTCTAAGGCATAGAACTGAGGCTGTCCTGTGAAACCCCTTTAAGTCACTGGTTATGGGAGCAAGTAGGAATTGGCATTCAAGGTCCTTCTCCAAGGAAACCATTAGCACCAGCCTCTGGGGACAGCTCCTTCCTCCCATACCTAGTGGCCAGTCTGGCCCTACCCAGACTCTTACCCACACGCAAACACCCCATCCAAGAATCCCTGTGAAGGCTGCCCCGGGCATCCCACCTCCCCCTGCCCTTCCTGTGTCCTCCCCTGGGCTTCCTCCCACGACCAGATCCACAGTTTGCTATGGCTGGGTCAGCTCCCCTTGCAGACCAGGTGCTTGACCCAGGGGCTGGAATGCAACAGGAACTCTGGCTATACCTGTCATAAAAACTGAGTACCATAAAGGGATTTCATCCTAACTGCTGCAAAGCATGACGGGCAACAGCTTCAGGGTCCCTGGGTGCTGGACAGGGAGCACACTCAGCCCAGTGCCCCCACGGCTGCGGTACCTGTTTCTGGCCAGTACCGTCGTCATCCATGCCGTGCTGGGCAGCCATGGCGGTGGACGTGTGCAGGGTGGCCGCGTCGAAGGGCACCCGCTCCACATGGGCAATGTGGCTGGAGAGGTACCCCAGGCCGGGGCCATCTGTCTGGTCTGGGTCTCGCCAGTTCTTGAAGAATTGCTTGAACAGTGGGGTCTCACCACCCTCAGGAAGGACAGAGACCTGGCAATGGCAGGTGGAAGAGCATGGTAGGGTGGAGCCTCAGATACCCCGGCCACCAGGAGAGGGACACGGCATCCCGGGGCGCCTCCTCCCACCACACCCCACCTGCGTCTGCTTGGCGTAGTTCATCTTGGAAATGAAATCAGAGGCCGTCTTGAGGGCGGCCTTTCTCTCCTCCATGTTGGCCTGCTTGCCTGTCGGCAGCCAGAGAGAACAACATTATTATCTCATGTCCATGGGCATACAAGGAAGCCACAGTCCTGGAGAGGTGGCAAGACGTGATGGAGGCCCCCACCAAGCAAGAAAAGCTGCGGTTCCACCTCTGTCCCAGCGAACACCCAGCTCTCTGACCCTGGGCACATGTCCGTGTCAGCCAAGCCCCTGGCCAGCTAGCCCAGTGCCAGGTCAGCATGGAGTGGGCAGGAGGACTAAGAGTGGCCAGGCCTCTTCCCCAGAACTGGCCTGACAGTGTCAGAACATCCCACAGCCCTTGCAGAAGCAACGGGGCCGACACCTCCATGGGCCTGAGACCTCCCTCAAGGGGTTCCAGGGCCCTTAGCATGATGTTGCCCAAACAGAAACCAGAGACCCTTTCAGATCAAGTGGCTTGAAGCCATCCCACAATCAGCAAGCCTGTCTCCCATGAATTACTCCACAGTGAACCAAAGAATGCACCTGACCACACACAGCCAGATGAATTTCCCAGACTTTTACATGACACCAAACAACCTCTCTGACAACTGATATACACTCAGGCAACATAAATGTCAGCCCAAACAGGGACTCTGCAGCCCAGAGAGGGTAAGTAAAGCACCCAGCATCACAAAGCAAGATGATGGTAAGGCCAGGGCATGAGCCCAAGGCACCCAATGCCAACAGGCCAGGGTCCTCCCACACAGCACCCTCGCTGCCCTCCCAGAGCCACTTCCTGGAAGCTGCCTGGGGCCCTGCCCTGGTCCCCGTACCTTTCCAGACATAGATTTTCCCATCAGTGCCATGGTCCAGGATGAAGCAGTCCTCTGACTTGAGGGCCTCCTGCGCGAAGGGATTCTCATCCGCCACCAGGGAGACGGACATGGTGCCTGCGCCATTGGAGACCTACGGGGAGAGGGAGAGGGGCCAGGCACTGAATGTCTGCAGCTGCCCACCAGGCCACCCCATCACCTGGGCTCTTCAGGCCTCATTCTTCCCTGACTGTTTAGTCAGGGAGCACCTGCCAGCCCACATTCAGGTAAAACATGCAGGCTGCACAGGGGAGGGATGGAAGCGGAAAGGAAGGGAGGGGAGGTGAGAGGAGGGGAGGAAGGGGACGGGAGGGAAGGGGGGGAGGAGGGGAGAGGAGAAGAAGAAGGCAGGAAGGTGGGCAGCCAATGAGGAGGAGTTTGTTGGAAAGATAGTCGACCTCGTTAGTAAAAGACAATTGCCCAACTTCCAATCTAGCTCACAGTGGATGCAGCTGGGAAAGCAGTGGAGGATGGTCCAAGTGCTTGGGCCCCTGCACTAACAGGGAACACCTGGACACAGCTGCTGGCTCCCGTCGGAGCCTGCCCTTGGACCGCCATTGCGGCCATCAGGGCAGTGAACCAATGGATAGAAGACTGATCTCCTCTCTCCCCCCTCTCTCTTCTATTTGTTGCTCTGCCTTTCAAATAGATATTAAAAAAAAAAAAAAGAAAGAAAGAAAAGAAAAAGTTAACTGTGATGCAGTATCCCAGACTAGGACTTGAGATGGAATCCTGTGGGAGCTGGAACGGAGTTCGTAGTTTAGCTACCAATGTGGAACCTACATGTCTTTCCTGGTTAAGATGCTAAGGAGAGGCTAGGTAAAAGATACATGGGAACTCTCTGTACCATCTTTGCAATTTTTCTATAAGCCTAAAATTCATTGCAAAGCAAAAAGTTCACCAAACTTTAAGAAAACAAAATGTACCACAGTGGTTCTAATGCAAAAGCCTGACCCAACGTCAGCCAGGTCCTGGGCCAACGGGCACCTGCTGAGGGCAATCATGGGAGCCCTTCAAGTGCAGCTCGGCCAAATGCATCAGCCTCAATCCAGTTTCAAAAGTCACGAGGAAGAAATGAAAAGCACCGTTGCTAACCATAACCGTCAGTGGGCCTTCTTGCCCACTCGCCGTCTCTACTCTCATCTGTCCCCAAGCATCTTCTCAACTTGCTCTGTCCTCTATCCTCCCTGAGGACTTTTGGCTCGCTCCTCACGGAGCAGGGAGTCCCACACGAGTCTGGACTTCACTGTGTTTTCTGTTCTCCCTCCAGGCTGTGAATGGGCCCCCTCTAGCCCCATGAGAAGCAGAGCCCACCTGCTTAGAGGGTGCCAAGGCCATGGGGCTGGGAAGGCCAGGTCTCTCGGCACCCCCCAACCCCCTGTGCTTACCCTGTGTCCAGGGCCCAATGCACCTGCAGCTCACCTTGTACAGCTTGGCCAGCTTGCGGTTGGCCGCATCCTCCTTGGTTGTGTCTTCAGCACCTTCGGGCAGAGCTGGCCTGGGGCCCAGATACTGCAGGACGCAGGGAGAGGGAAAGAAAGGATGGCCATGGGAACACTGGGGTGTAGGGAGCGGGGCACTGCCAAGAGAGTCTCCCAGGCTCCTCCTCCTCCGGGTAATCCCCCTTGGTTTCTTCTAAAACCTGGAGGACCCAGATGCGCCCAGGAGAACAGCTGCCAAGGGCAAGGAGCAGGGCTCCTGGGCTCCTCCTTTGCCTGACGAACCTGTCTCTATGGACAGGTCCTTGGAGCGTGAAGGCTCGCCAGCCCATCAGGCAGTGGACTACACAAGCCAGGAACTACCAGAAGGAGCCAGAAGAGAGGTGAGCACTCTGAGCTTAACTGTCTCCTCTGACCTCGCGCTAGCATCACGCTGGCCCCCAGGGCATCCTGGGAGAGCTCCTGGTCAGCTCATTCAGGGGACAAGGTCCTCCCTGCTGAGGGATGTGGCCCACCCTCATCCCCATGGGCGCCCCATCTGGGAGTTAGCTGCCAGGGAAGCTTATCTGAAGTCCTGAGGCTTGGAGGAAAGCACCAAGGGTCTAGAGATCTAGCAGGGCTAAGGGCTTCTTCCAATCACTATGTTACAGGGCAGAGGGCAGTCATGAGCCCACATGTGCCCCTGCCCTGCACCCCCAGGGTACCTGAAGCATGCCCTCGGGCTCAGAGCCCTCCTCAGACACGTGCACTCGGGCCCGGCCGCTGCGCTCGTTGTCCCGGATGCCCTTGGACACCTGCGTGGCCTTCAGTCGTTCGAACTTGTTGCTTCTGGAACCGCACCACTGGTAGATGTCCTGTAAGACAGAGTCTCCCAGAAGTCAGTGCCCCAGGCTCAACACAAGCCCTGCCCAGCGACACAGCACCAAGTCGAGTGTCCACAAGCTCACCGTGTGCTGGGCATGCCCAGCTGAGGGCTGCAAGGGACCACACACATGCAGCATCCAAGCATGCTGCACTCCCGCAGACACATGCAAATGCGTGTCTGGGCACACCTGCCTTCCCACAGCTCCAACTACACCTAGACAGGGCAGAGAAATCTTCACCTGCTGATGGTAGGGTAAATGGGGCTACTTGTTTGGCAAGCTATGTGGGCACAGTGACTGACCCTCAGTAAACATACATTGTATGACCCAGCGATCTTCTTCCACCAGTGACTCATCTGCTCACCAAAAGCCCTGTGTGAGACTGTTCAGAGCAGCACAGCTCATGACAGCCCCCACGCCAGAAACCGCCCCCTTAGCCTCTCAGTGAAACAAATGGAAAGCAGATCACGACCTCCCCACATGACCGAGCTGTGCGAGAGAATGAAGAACTACATCCGGCCCAGCAACATGCATGAGTCTCACGGAACCTTGGGGACCAAGAGGAGTCAGCCCAAGATGCTGGTTACCCAGGGAGCATGGGGCACCAGAGGCAGGGCAGTGGAGGCCTTCTGAGTAACTGGGCTGCAGTTTCTCAAGCCAGGGCCTTCTGGGGGTGCTCACTTTGTGAGCTCCACAGAGCTGTATGCTCAGGACCCACGCCTTTATAAAAAAGCATCTACTAAGTCAGTGTATAGCTAGGTGTGCACGGCGCTACGTGTGCACAAGGTGTGGGACAGAATGTCCAGCTGTGTCCATCTGCAGGTGTGCACTCGCATGGATTTATGGGCAAGAGTATGCAAAGCAGCACACATGTGGAAACAGTGTACATGTGTGACATACATCCATGAGTCTGCACATGTGGGAATTCAATACAATGCCCATGCGCAGGCTTGGTGGTGGGCAGGAGCGGACAGTTCACCCCGCCTCTGCCACATGCTTACAGATGCGCAGCTATGTGGACAGCAGTACCTAAGGCATGCACGTGAACGGAGGACGCTGGTGAGCTTGTGTGACACTCAAGGCCTACCCATGTGCATGAGGCTCTGAGACGCCACGTATGGGAGCCACTGCACGCGAGACACGTGTGTGCCTGGACCTCTGGGTGGCTCACAACGAAGCTCAGGGGTGTGCCCTCCTTGTGTCCTTGTGTCCACTCCCGGATCCACCTCCCCAAAGTCAGGCGGGGCCAGCACTCACATTGCCCAGGTCCAGGATGAAGCAGTCGCCGTTGTTGAAGCTGTCCCAGGTCACAGGCACCTCGGTGGCCCGGACCACACGCCGCCCTTTGACCTGTAGGAGCCTCTGCACCACCACCTCGTTGGGGACCACGTGCTTGAATCCCGATGCCACGCCTCCTTTCTGGGGGACCAAGAGACAGCATTAGTCCAGGAGAGAGGGACCAGAGGGGCGAACGGGACTGAGGTGGCCTGTGGATCAGCGGCCTGCTGACAACACGGAGGTCAACCTACACAGCCCTTGCATGCCTGGGTCATTCTTAGAACCATTACAGGAAAAAAAGACCCAGGTTCAGAAAGGGCAAGGACTTGGCCCAGCATGCAGCTGAGAGGTGCCCGACCCCAAATGACTGTTCCAGGCTGCCATCTTTGACTGTGGACAAAGACCCCCTTGCATCCAAGAATCGTGAACGTTCCTTTCTCAAACCCAGCATTTCACAACAGGATATTCTGCAGCACCCAAGCCCTCCCCACCCCCAAACACGAGATTCCCTGCAAGGAAGGTTCATGGTCAAGTGTAGGGAGAGTTCCTTACTCCCTCCCTACCCACAGTGCACACTCACACACACGTGAAATGATGGACATGGATGTGATGGAGACGCTGGCACACCCTATGGTCAGTGCACCTGCCTCCTTTGGCTTCACAAGCAGCATACCATCTTATGGAATAAGATAACATTTCTGAAACAATAACCCCTAGGGTGCTGGGCCCTTGCTCACACAGGCTATGCTCTCAGCACTATATCCATCGCACTGATGAGAAACGCAGGGTCCACACAAGAAGGCACAGCCAGCCCAGGCATGTCTGAATCTGTAAAACTCACGTCCTTTGCCCAACACCAGGTTTCCTGAGATCCACTGTCATTAAGGTCACCCAGCATGGGAGGCAGCCTTTGGAGTAGACAGGTGTTTTGGGATGCGGGTGGCTGCAGCGCCCCCTGGTATCCCTTCTTGGAATTACCACAGGGTCCTTCCAACGCTCCCTTGGGTTCAACAGGGCCATCCTGTTCACAGGCTGACTCCTTGTCCTCCTGTCCTGTCCCAGGCTCCTTTCAAGAAGACAGAGGGACGGCTACTCTGTAGGCAGAACCTCGGAGGGGAGCAGGGATGGGGTTGTGCGCAAGACAGTAACCATCCCACCACCAGGGATGTGTTGGGGTTCTAGAGTGGGATGAGTTGGGAGAGGCCTGGAGGCACAGAGCTGTAAGCGGAGCAGAGGCAGAGAGAGAGAGATAGAGGGGAGAGGCTCTGAGAGCCACTGGCTGAAGAAAGGGGAGGAAGAGCATGAGGAAGGCTCCAGGTGGGCCTGAAGACCGAGCTCCAGCCAGAGCTAGACAACTGCTCCTCCAGCAAGCAATGTGCTAGCTCCTCACCTTACAGGAGCCCCGCAGGGAGGGATCAGTGCTTCATCTGCACCGGAACTGTACGGGGACTGAGATTCAGAGATCCGGCACTATAATGCCAGGACGCCCAGCCAGCAGGCATGGGTCTGAGTTTTACCACTCCCACCCCAAGTCTTCCTTTCCAGGGAGGAGCCGTGTCCACCTGTCAGCCCTCAGAGAGGCAGGTGTGATCAGCTTTTCCAAAGGACTCTAATGGACCCACAGCCATGTCCACCAATACCTCCGACACAAGGAAATAGGGAGACGCACGCCTTTGCCTTGTCTATATCCTTCTATGTTATTTGATCAAGCATGCCTTCGAGGTTTGTCATCTAAAAACCAGAAAATACTTTTTAAAGGGAAAGCTTTGCTTTGCATCATAAACCTTGTTTCTTGGAAGTTCTCCATAAATTAATTTAGAAAATAAAAACAATATTTGATTTCTAATGATTGTGGCCAGGGGAATCCTAACAAACCCTTTTTAATTCAGGAAATTAGACCTGGAAAGATTAGTAACAAAAGAGAGAGTAACAGCAAGTTCTTTGAACACATTTGTGGAAATCCAAAAGCCAGGGGCAGGAACTTTTTTAGGTTTTTCCTAATTCTTTCATTATAGTCTTTAGGATAGGCTATTGCTTCCTGTAGTGTAAATCTTTAAGTGAGAAAAACCGGCATCAAATAATATTTGGACAAAATGCAATAGGGTAAATTTGTTAAAAAAAAAAAAAACACTTTCCATACTAAAGTGAAGATATATTATAGACAGAAAAAAAAAGGAAAATATTAACCACCATTGGGTATAAAGGGTACTTGTAAAGTTATGAAAAGAATTGGTAAGAGATGGGTTTATTTTGTTGCAAAAATTTCGGAAATTCATGCTGCAATAAAAAGTTCATGCAGAATATTCATTAGGAAAATGCTAAGCATGTTCTTCTTGTGCCACAGTAAACTTACGATGTTTTAAACTAGTTAAACTATTTTGTGTAAACTCTTCTGGTCCATCTCCATGGGTAAAATAATGAGAGGCGTTTACTTTCCAAAGCCTGGACTTACGCAATGTTGACATTCTGCCACAAGCTGGTCCTGCTCTCCCAGGCCAATATTTACAACAGAATAGTTTCCCTTACCCCCACGTTGATAAATCCAAAAAAACAAAACTGAAAAAAAAACAACAAAAATTGCATTGATGGGCCAGTCTGCTCCACCCTCTAAGGCTGAGGAAGGTTTTGTGGGTCTCTCATTGTGTTTCCAGGGTCTCGGGCCAAGATCCAACCCAGACTGCCTCTGCACAAAGGGTTTCAAATAACCCGGCCCCAGGGGGTCTGGAGGATTTGGGCTGGAAAACAGGGGAGGATTGGAGGAGGAAGGGAAGGAGGAGCTAGACGAGGGATGGGGAATGGGCTTGCAGAGTGGTGACGTTTAAGGACTCGGGGGTCAGGAAGCCAGAAGGGCCAGGCCCCCCAGACAGCCTTTGGGTGCCCCACCGCTCCCTGCCCCTCTCATACTCTCAGGGCCTGATTGGCTCGAGGAAGAGGCTTTCAGGGGAACAAGTCTTGCATAACAAGCCCAGCTCCTCTGCCTGTATAATTGATGAGCGTGCCAGGCCAAGAACCTCAGGCCCGGCCAAGTGCGGGGGCGGCCTGAGGACGTGGGGTCGGCAAGAAACAGGACCAGCCTGGGACCTCGCAGGTCCACCTGGGACGCCTGCCTTTCATGCCTGGGCTGGACCCTACCCTCTGGAGTGTTCCCCTGGCACGGTCAAGAATGTCCCCAGTTAGCCCAAGGAGAGGGTGGGGAGGTTGGGCGAGAGGAGGATGGCTAATAAAGGAGGGCAGCCTGAACCCCATCCCGGCTGAAGACGTGGGAGCCTGGCCATGTCCACTCTGTCCCAGCTCTGGGCAGCCCCTGGACCCCTGAGGTCTAAACCCCAGTGCCATTACTTAGGAACTGTGATGCTGGAAAAATTGCCTGGCATCTCTGTGCCTTGGTGTTCTGTACCAAATGGTGCTAACACTGGAAACCACTTCCCAGCATGAAATGAATGACACAACTAGAGCACCCAAGGAATCACTCACACACACACACACAGGTTTGAAGATGAACATCTTGTACCAGCTACACAGTCCATCTCAGTCATGGGCCTCGACTGCCTCACTCCATGGGGCGTGAGCACAGTGCCAGCTACGTCCCGGGTGCAGAGCCTGCCCTACAGCAGCAGTGACAACAAGCTGTGCTGCTCTGACAGTGCTGTGCCAAGTACTCAGTGAACAAATGATGCATGGACAACCAGTGACATCAAACGCCCGGAGGTATAGACTGGCCCCGGGACCCCCATCTCTGCAGTTCCTCCTGTGTCAAACACTCTGCCATTTCCTGTCCTAGGGGATGCAAAAACACCTGGCCCTTCTCCCTCTTGCGGTATGGAGGGCAGAACGGGCTGCGGGAATGGGACAGAACTGCACAGACCAACAGGCTCCAGGGAATCCAGCCCAGCCACACCCAGGCTGGCTCCCATTCCCAGGACACACCCTGCCCTTGGCAGAGCCCCCTTGGCACCCTCCCATTACTCAGTCTCGGTTGCTTCACCAGGGCCCACAGGACGGCTGCTGCACAAAAGCCGGGCCCCTGGCGAGGCCCAGACTTCTCCAGGGCCACACAGCACAGCCCAGAGCTGAGGCCGACCCCAGCCCTCTGGTCGCAAGGGTGCTGCCAGTAGGGAAGTCTGGGCTGTGTTTCAGACTCCGGCACCAACTCGCTGTGCCACCCTGGAGCAGTTGTTTAGCCTATCTAAGCCCCAGTTGCCATCCCTACCCCAGGAAAACATGAGCGGTCTGAATTCTAACCTTAGAGTCCCCCTGGCCATGACAACTGGAGGGAGGGGAGGGGTCCCTTCCCTATTCTGGCCAGCCAAGGAGCCAAGCCCACTGAAGGCATTTCCTAGCCACCCTTCACCAGATCCTCTCCCCAGCCCTGTAGGGCAGGTACAACTGGCTCTCAGGTGACTGCAGAGGACAAACAGGCTCAAGGAGGCCACCTGTGTCACCAGCAGCACCACAGGCTATAGGACTCAGCCAGGATCTGCTTCGTCCCAGCCACTGGAAGCTGGGGAAAGGAGCTGAGGCTGGTCCAGACTCACGAGTTCAAAGTGGAACCTATCAAACAGAAAGAGGAAAGTGACTAAGATTGTCCTATGCTATGACTACCACATGGCTGGCCCTCTGTTGGCAGGGGTCAGGGAATGAAGGAGCGTCACATAACCCAAAGAAGCCCGAGGGATTTTTCTGCCACTCACATCAATATAGGGAGCCAGTGGCTCAGAGAGGAAGTGTGCTTTGTCCAAGGTCACACAGCTAGGAAGAGTCCAGGATTTGAACTTGGGGTTAGTTCACTCAAAGCTGACCCCTGACCTCCACACATCACCCCTCATGGCTGAAAGATGAGCATACCAGTCCGAGCCATCATTAACACATCTACCTGAGTCAGGTGGGGACCAACCCACCTTGTACTTGATGCCGGACTTGAAGTAGCCAAGGAAGGTGGCCGACTCAAAACCCTGGGTCTCACGGTGCTGCACAGCCCGGCCATTCAGATAGTCATCCAGTTGCACGGTGAAGATGGCGGCCGCCCCACTCTCATCCTGGCTGCAATCATTGCCTAGGAGACAGTAGGGCAGCATGAGCCAGGCTTCCTGAACATGCCCCCAAGCCCTCCCAAGTACTTCCCTGGTTCTCCTGTGGAAGCTGGGCAAGCCCCCGCACCCCTGTGAGCCTGAATTAACCCATCGATACAATGGGTTCAGCACAGGGCGGGAACGGAACTGGACACTATGTTATCCTATGGGTCTTCCCAGCTCTGCCACATCGCTCCATATTCTCCTTCAGTTCAGGACTTGGGACAGGTGGCCCAGCTCAAGTACAGGAAATGGAGGGTTGGTGAAGTGGCAGGACTCAGAGCAGAGCCAGGGAAGGGTCTGCAGGCCCCCCCGCCTCAAGTCTGAGAACTACATCAACTTGCTTAATTAACCTCACAGCTCCCAGAGCCATGACAAATACCTGGCGGAGGCAGACTGTGGTCAGGAGCCCAGCTGGCCCTAGCATCAGGGGAAGGGCGAGGGGGGTGGTTGGTGAGCCTGGTGCACACTGCTTGATGCCAATAATCAAGGGTGGGCTTTCAAGCATAGTAGTTAGGGCACCACCTAGGGTGCCCACATTCCACGTCAGAGCGCCTGGCTCTGCTTCTGACTCTAGCCTCATGCTAAGGTGCAACCTGGAAGGCAGCGGGGATGGCCTACGTCCTGGGGTCTCCACTGACCACATGCAGGAGGCCCAGCTTGTAGCCCCAGGCTCCCGGCTTCAGCCTGGCTCTGTCACAGCTCTCGTGTACATCTGAGCAATGGACCAGAAGACAGACGATCTCTCTGACTTTGTGTGTGTCAATTTCTCTCTCTCTGCCTTTCAAATTAAAAAAAAAAAAGTAAGCCCCCTATTGCACTTAAGGGGGGCAGGGCAAGGCTGAGCAGAGGTGGGGGGCAGGGCTGGGGGGCTGGGCAGGGGCCTCACCCAGCCAGTAGTGGAGGTCATACTGCAGGTTCCCATTGCGCAGCTGCACCGTCTTCAGAATGACGTAGGCATCACCCATGAAGAAGTCCCCATAGAGGTTGGGGGGCACGGGCACCAGGTCAAACTTCTCCACACGCCAGATCTGCAGGCCAGGCTGCTTCCCCGCCTTGAGGAACTCAGGGTGCTCCACCACCATGCTGCTGGGCTGGGGAGAAACAGACGGTGGTGCCTGAGCTGGGGAGAGCCCCGTGCCTCAGCAGGCACAGACCCCGGGCGTGAGGGAGGCTGCTTTCCAGCACCGAGAGCGTCCACCTGGACCCCCTGCTTGCTCCACACCCAAGGCAGTTAGCCTCCTGGATGCTCACTCCCCGGGAAAGGAGGGCTCTGCCTCCCTCTGCCATATCTTCATCCTGTCCTGGACCATATTCATCTAGGCATTGAGAGTACAGGTGACCGGGACACCATGCCAGGAGACCACAGCGCAAAGACCACAGGCTCCAGGCTATGGGTAGACCACCATCCTCCCACCACCCAGCACACACGCACACACAGTGGCAAACCCAGGGGATGTCCAGGGGTTTGGCTAGCTGCTTTACAGCACCCTAGGTGATTTTTAAGGCTAAGGGCCCTCAGAGAGCTCTGTATCTCACCCTGCTCTGAAAAAGGGAGAATCAAGGCCGAAAGAAAGGAGGAGACTAGTTCAAGGTCATAGCCTCTGGGTAGATTTTCCATGCCCCACCAATCCACTTCATATCCCGCAGGAAGGGTCTGAACAGCTGAGCCCAAGTAGTCTCCTGTGCTGTCTGCCTCCTCCCTCTGCCCACCCCCAACAGCCCACCCCCAAATTCCATTCCTTGGTAAAGGCAGAGGGGATACCCTGCCCTGGGGTGGGGGAGGGAAGGGTCTGCAGGAGCCTGCTTGGTGGGGAGGGTGATGTAGCGGGGAGTAGTCAGGGAGCCAGGAGGCTGTCAGACACGCTTTGGGATGGCGGCTGGCGGTGCGGAGGGTTAGGCAAGACCTGGAGAATGGCAATTAGCAGGCGCAGGTCAGTCACCTTGCTGGCTGGAAGAGAGATCTGGGAGGGGAGCAAAACCCAGAGGGCAGAAGTGAGTAAAGTCAGATGGGGAGAAGGAATTGGGCACAAAAATGGAACAAATAACAACAGTGGGGTATGGGGGAGAGATCAAACAGGGCAGGGGAGACAGCAGAGAGGAGAGAACCTGGGTGTCATTAAGGACAAGAAGGTGGGTGGGATCACCCAAGAGGAGGGGATAGTGGGGAGGGGGGAGAGGAACCTTAGAGGTGGATGAGATGCAAGAAGATTGGGGAGAGGAGGGGGGACCTTAGACAAGGAAAGGAAAATTCAGCCAGTGGAGATGGGTACAAAATGAAAAGGTGGAAGAGACAAGAGAAATCCAGCTGAGGTGAGGTTAGACTCCAGCAAGGGAGGCAGCCAGAGCCCCGTGGCGCCCACCCTCCGCCAAGCCCCCTAAAACAGCCAGAGATACTTACAAAGCAACAAAACAGTTTTTCCATTCTAGACCTGAATTACTCCCCTTTTCCTAGCGCTGTTATCTGCAAGAACTTATAACACAGAGTTACTCTGGGGGCCCTGGGAACCCCCCCGACACTCACCCGCGCCTGGGGCGGCCGAGAAGGAGCCACCCGCCGCGATGTGGTGGCCGCCAGTGCCGGCGACAGCAGCGACAGCGCGCACAACGCCAGGAGCAGCGCGCCTGGCAGCGCGCGCATGGAGCGATGCGGAGCCATAGCAGCGGCGGCGTCGGTAGAGGACCCGCAGCCCCAACCCCGGGAGCGCCGACCTTAAATAGCCGCCCGCCCCAGCCCGCCCCAGCCGGCCCCAGCCCGGACCTCCCCCGCAGGGAGGGCGCAGGGCAGGGCAGAGATCTGTCAGGGATCTTGGAGACATCTGGATTCCCACTGGATCCGACCCGACTTGGGTGCGGCCGCGCCTGCACCCCAGCTCCAGGGTGGAAATTAAGCACGGAGTTTGACATACAGCAGGTTCTAAGTGCATGCTAAACAGGAAGGACTCGTGGCGGGGAGTCCAGCTCAGTCTCTTTCTCTCCAGTGTCCGCAGCAGGCTCCTGGCAGTTCTGCTCCAGGCAAATGCTAATGTGATGGAGCCGCACAGTGAAGCCGCCTCACCAGATCACCCTTTTCAGAGTGGGTACTGCCCACAGCCCATTTTACAGAGCAGCAAAGGGAGCTTAGAGGTTGTACCGGCAGTACTGTTGGTAGAACTGGGACTGGGGCTGGGCAGAGCCCCAGGCAGCCTGCCTGACCCCTAGCCAGCAGCTACCAGGCTCAGAGCGGGCAGGCCCAACTCTCATGTCCTGGGATGGCTGGGTCTACCTTACTCAAGGTGGCCTATCTTTCCTACTTTAAAAAAACTGGTTTTTTTGTTTGTTTGTTTCTAGAAGTTTTGATCAAAACATAATGTCCCAACTATTAATCCCGCTGGCCCTCCCCAGCAGATGACTCAGGGCTCGCAGCCTCATCTGCAGATAACAGGCCCTTGGGAGAGTTTTGTCCATTCTAGGCACCCCCTATGGAACCCTGGGGAGGACAGGTTTGAGACTCTTCTTCCCACCCAGCCCCCAGTGGCACAGGCTCTGGGTTAGGGTTAGCGTGCACACACACACACACACACACCCCACTAGACGCATGCTAGCTTAGGAGAAGCGCCACCTTCCCCCATCCCCACTTTCCACCCCTCTGGGGGATCCACCTGCATGTCCTTGGCATCCCTGATCCCCACCTCCACCCCCCACCAAGCCTGGTGTGGTGAGGGCAGTCAAGTGAGGAGTAGCATGCTTGGGTTTTCTATCCACCTCCACGAGGCACGAGGTGCTTCCTTTTCACATGCCTCAGTGTCCTCATCTACCAGATGGGTGCAATAGGTGCCAAGGGTTAAATCAGTCTGCATGACCACAGCTGGCCCTATGGCGAGGTCAGGGGCAGCCCCTCTGTTTGCAGCACACAGCCTTAGTCCCCGACCCCACAGCTCCTCCTGCGGCCCAGCTTCCTCCTAAGGAGGCTGAGGACTGGTGTCTGCCCTCTCCCAGCACAGCTTCCTTCCACCTGCAGGGCAATGTTTCCTTGCAAAGCCAAGGCAATACACACAAGATCCTCCTGGCTGGGGGAATTTTAAGACAACTGAGTGGCGACAGCTACTGTGACCTGGGAGGGGAGGAGAGGAATAACCTGGAAGGACAAGAAAAATGGAGACTGAAAAGCAAAGGCATCCCTGGGGGATGGGGCCGTGGGGGCAAAGGACAGGCCAACACGGGCCACAGCCAGTGTGCAACCTGGAGAGAGTGAGGCTGCACCAGATGGCAGCTGTCACAGGGGCCTGTGTCTCCACTGCAGAGTCCAAGTTCCATCCCAGAATATGGGGGACCCTTCCCCAGGGAGAGTGCACCCCTAAACCTGCAGAGCCACCTGTCTAAAACCCAGACTCCTCCTCCTCCCAGCCATTTGCAGCATGATGAAAACCCCCCTAGCTCTCACATGCCACCATCCACTGGCTAACGACGGTTCAAGGCACACAATGCAACAACAGTTCCAGTCCCTACAGAACGACTTACAGGCGACCACAAAAATGTATGTGCAAGGGTGTTCACTGTGGCATTGTCTGAAGAAAACTGGAAGAGACCCAAAGGTCTTGGCTAAATAAATGATGGAGCCTCCTCACAATTGACCACTGTGCAGCTGGGAAAGAAAAGAACGAAGTGGGTCAGACTGCGCCTGGCACACAGTAGGCACTCAAAGAACAGGGAACAATGTCCAGGTGCAAAATAGCAGCACTATGCCAGGGGCCAGAACCTGGCTCCTCTGCTTAGAGACGCATGCAAGCCTAAGGAGGTACATGCCAGACCGTCCCAGTGCTTTGCCCAGAAGGGATGTAGGGGAGGCCTCAAGTCTCTAACACCGCAGCAGCTGTCTGAACATGTGAGAAGCACCTCCAGCTCTGTCATCGGCACTAGGAAGCATTTGGGGTGATGGGAATGTTGTTCTAACACTGCATTTTGGTGAGTTACGTAACTGATTAAATCCACAAGGAGTCATAGAGCTAGACACCTACAGTGGGTGAATTGCGATGGTATGTAAATTGTATTCCAATTCATGTGTTTACAATTTAAAAACACCACCACCAGGGTGGTTAAGAAAGGAGTTGAGATGCCAAGTTCCACATCACAATGCTGGGGTTTGGTCCCCAGCCCTGGGCCCTGACTCCTGCTTCTGCAGCCCCTGAGAAGCTGCAGCGATGGCTCACACAGCTGGGTTCCTGCCATCCAAGTGGGAGACTTGGAGTGAGTCTCTGGCCCCCAGTTTTGGCCCAGCCCAGCAGTGTCTATTGAGGGCACTTAAGCAATGAATCAGTGGATGGGAGTGTTCTCTCTCTCTCTCTGCCTCTCCAAAACAAACACACATACATACAGAAACAAAGAGAGAGAAGAGGGTGGAGAGAGAGCGAGAACTGTCAGATTTGAAGCCATTTAAATTTATTTATCAACAATCCAAAAACAATGCTTTAAAATATACTTATGGTGATACCTGCTCATCAGTTTGGAAAATCCAAACCAGAAGAGGAAATCTCCTCATCCTTTGATCCCCAGAGTGACCCTGAGCCAGCAGCTGGAGCAGTGGAACAGCCCCTCTGGAGCAGTGTGGCCCCAACCTGCCCAGTTGGTGATTAACAGGAGGCTGTTGTGGTGTGGCCTTGGCCCTGGGGCTCACTGACCACCAGACCAGGGTCGCTGACCACAGGTTAATGATCTCAAAGGCCCTGCAGCTTGCTTGCCACACAGCTCTGTAGCCTGAGTCCTTGGCACTGGGGGCAGGGTAGGCACACACACACACACACACACACACACACACACACTATCTCTCACAGTTAATACACACCCCCATGCTCTAGAAGCCCAGAGCCAGAGGCCCCCTGAACCACAGGGCAGCAGCTATGATGGGGCGACATTGTCTTACTCCAGCTGGAACAGAGTGAGGGAGTCCAGGGCAGTGTGAAGAATTCCAGTGCAAAAGAAAAGCCCCTTGGTGGGAAGGAAAAGGTGGAGCACTGGGCTGGCTCTGCCACTGGCTTCTTGCATGACTTTGGGTAAGCCGCCGTCCCCTTCTGGACCTCAATGCTTCCCAGTGAACAGACAGGGTGGGCTCCAGTGC